TGAAGTAGCCTCATGGATTAAACAATTTTGAAATCACTCTAAATGAACATTTTGATTGTTGACAAATAAAATTGTACCAAGTTTCAGCAGGATAGGAAAGCGTGTTTTTAAAGTAAATAATAAATTTACGATTTTCGTTTGAATCTGAAGTCTAACGTAAAAAATTGTTATATTTTTTAACAGATATCCTAGATGTTAATGACAGCTCAAATCAAATGTCATATTATGGCCTTTTATTAAAAACATATTATTTCTTATAATTAAAACCTTTTATTTGGCCACTTTTACCTGTTAAATATTACTGCATATATTTAATATATGTATGGATCGATTGTTCATATAAATTAGTATAGGTATTTAAAGAGTCAAAATCGATCTTAATTCGATGATTTACATTTCATAATCTTACCTTATTATGGCTTTTGCCCTACTAACATCGCCCGCGCTGTATCGTCTATTTGAGTACGTTTTACTTCATAAATTGACTTCCGTGGACCAAATTGAAACGAACATCATAAATCGGCTTTCTTAGGCGGGATAGAAACGAACAATATCTCGTCACTTATTGTAAACAATTTCATGAGGAGTATTAAGTGTAATGTTTTTTTATTTTTATAATAAGACGACATTTTTATCCGACTGCGCGACGCAATGTATGTATGTTTGCTTGTTCCATTGTGGCATTCTAGAGACTAAACTCGTGGGCCGATTTCGATGATTCATCGTCGTTAGATTCGTCTTGATAACGCGACTGTCACAGGCTATATTATAAAAACAATTAAAAATTAAAATGCAGATTTAAGTCGCCATTTTGTGTGTCTAAAAAATTCTTCCAAACCAATTGAGTGGGAACTACCTACATAATATGTACACAAACTCCGACTGCATAATACTATATTCCTTCGTCGATTTGTTTTCATCTTCTAAGTTAGCTTTTATGCAGTCGGGTTTTTTATTTTTATAATATACTAGCGGCTCACCCTCCCTTCGCTCGGGTTTGTCGCTAGGTACGTTTTAAATATATATATAAATAGTTATTACCCAGCGTTAGCCATATAAGTTTTAATATGGTTGTTAAGTATTCTTAAATAAATATTTTTAAATTTTATAATTTTCCACGCAATTTTTGATTTTTTTTTCATAAGAACCTTCTCCTGACAATAAAAAACACAATAAAAAAATATTGATTATACTTTATATAATATTGTTGATTTACTATAGATAAATGATTATATACCTTTTTTTTACTGTCGGAAAATGCATTTACGCATACCACCTGATCCCCCAGGTGGTGATGTGGGGCTCACCGGCTAGAAGAGCCGGTACTACCCACTAAAACCCGACATCCCTTCCCCCCGCCTTAGTGGAACGACTACTACGGCGCCCCGGCGGCAGGTCTGCCTAAACGCTAGGCAGACCACCAAACCAATGGGGCTGCTCCACAGTCAACTCTGCTACGCCAGAAAGGTACCCGGAGCAGCCCCATTAAACCAAACACCGCCCACCGAAGTGGGCCACCTCCAATCGGCTGCAGAGTACAGGGAGAGCGGCAACGAAACACGAGACTCCTCTTCCCCTGCAGCCCCACCACGTCCGCCATCGAACGGTGGCGGCCCCGTCTAGGCCGCGGAAGGCAGGGAGAACGGCGCACCGAAATACCGGCACTCCTCTCCCGCCGCGGCCTACCCCTCCGCCGGATGCTGGCCTGTGACCACAGTCCCGCAACCGGCACCTATCATCCGGTTGTGAGACCAAGCGGTCCCACCACCGGTGGCCGCAACGTCTTCGGCTCGAGGCCTAGACGAGCGGTCCCACCCAAGCCATTTGGTCCGCGCCGGATTTCTCCGGTACCACCCGCTGCCCTAAGCGGATGGCATTCCCCCATCCGCCACCCGGAGGACGCGCCCGGTAGGAGTTGGCTTCATCCCCGGGAAATGATTATATACCTGTTATAACCTCGATTCGATTTTTTATCGAAAAAAAAAAAAAAAAAAAAAAAAATTGACAATGTCAATACAAAATTTATTGTGTAATCGAAATTTATTTTAAAATATATCCAAAAATAACATTAATAATTGAATTAATAGTACAAAAAATGTTTTAAAACACAACAAAATCGAAAGTGCATAATATTTAACACCATTCAGACAAAGAAAGACAATAGCATTCCCAAGGAGGGTTGACGTCAGGCAGGCGGCCGGTCGTAAAACTATTGCCAAATCCTATCAGCAGTACACTGAAGATGTACTGCGCCGACCCCAAGTGATTTGGGAAATGGGCAGGGAGAAGAAGAAGAACCTCGATCAGCCTTTATATAAACTAAATAATTTTTTATTTTAGTCACTTCTTTGTTTCTAATTACTGCCCCTTTCCAGAACTGGAGTTTAGTGCTGGCTGACCTAGCACGTTAAGAGTAAATACCTCGGGTTAACCTAATAGCTCTTTAATATGTGCCTATTTAGTGAAAAATAAATAATATATTGTGTGATTTCTAATAAAAGTGTATTTTAAATACTAAATCTAACGGGTAAAAGGAATATTTTGTTGTGTAATATGTAATGAAACTATACTTATATCAACTGCGCTAGCGTCGCGTCGTTGCTCTTCTCATATCCGTACAATACTCGGTTCATATAGTGTTTAAGTTCATAACGTGCTACTAAATGTCTCCCTAATTTGTCTCCCCGTGAAACGTGAAAAACAATTTGGATAAATTTTGTAGTTAATTGTGTTCATTTACCTTGTTAACCTATTGAAAATTCATTAAATTGGACCTGAAAAGACAACCGCTACACAAAGTACCTACATGAAAAATGATTTTGATATTTTTACGTGTACGTCAAGCTATGCAAGTGAGAGCTTGATGAGTTCTTTTAGTGTACATCCATAAAGGTTCCTGACATACACAGTATCATTAAAGTATAATAAGTGAAGCGCGAGTCATATCGAATAATTTAAATCCTATTGGTTTAAATACAACAGGTAATTTATTAATATGTGTATGTCTGTGTGTTTCATTTTACACCTAGCGTATCCTTGGACAGTCGGGATGCTAGTTAATATGCAAATTAAATAAGTATACTAATATGGAGGTATTAATTAAGTACTTGAAAGAGCGAACGATCGATGGAATCGTAATTTTAACATACGACAATACGAGTATAAAATTCACATTTCACATTAATGTGACTTCAAAAAGCTCGCGATAAAATGTAAAACAATATAATAATAAAGTGTAACAAACTATAGGAGGAAAATCTGTCATTACAATTGAATATCACCACTACGTAGTATGCAAATACACGTTCACGGGTATAGTCAAAGCTAATTACGACAAAATTGAAGTTTGTGTAACTGTGGAAATGTACTTCGAAAATGGTTTGGCACAGGTATTTTATTTCAACAAATATATTAAAATTGATTCGATAGTGTTTGTAAATTTAATGTTGACTTATTTAAAGACAATAATTTTTATTCTCGTGTTCTAATTAATATAACTGATTTTATAGCTTAACCGCAACACTATGACGAGCGTACAACTACGTGGTATTGATATTATCAAGGCAACAGGGATATGTTAGGACTTAAGAATTGTTTGCAAATAAATGTACACCATTGTTGATCCATTATAGGAGCCAATTATATCTATACATATAATAAAATTGTAACAAAGTCGAATCTGTACATTAAATATATTTTGGAAAATCTAATTGAAATAGACATTATTATCGATACAGAGTCCGAATCTATAGTTTTTAGAATTTTTGTCTGTCTGTCTGTCTGTTACCGCATCACAGAAAAACCACTGGAGGGATTTTGATGAAATTTGGTACGGTGATAGCTGGTTATCCGGGTCAACATATTGGATACTTTTTACCGCGGAAAAATGTCTCATTTCTGAGAAAAAATACAAAACTGCAATTTATGAGTATACTATGTAAAACCTAAGAATTTGGTTTTTGGTCATCTGAACGCGGGCGGAGCCGCGGGCAATGCTAGTTACCTATATATTTTAATCAACTCGTATAGTAAGAGTCACAGTGTACGCAGTTAGTATTTGAAAAAAAATATAGGAAAACTAAAAGTAACCTATCTCAAGTCCAAAATAAAGACTGTCCCAAAAATCATGCAAGATTTAATTGAAATAGAAATCAGGTTGTTTTAATTTGTATTTTTTTTATTTGAAACATAAAATAGATAGGCTAGAATGTATTATAACAATACATCTGGAAAATGTCCTCTTTGGCATTCCTGGGACATACGCACTCGTTTTTGAAATTTTCCATGATTTCGACAATGATTTTGTCATTTTGCATAAATGTGGTTTAATGTTGTGGATGTGGCGTTAAATCTCCTCCTTCAATGGAATGGTATTTGGGCTTGTTAAAAAATACTAAATTCAAATAACCCGATAGAAAATATAAAATTGTGTTAAAACACAATATGATCTAGGGAGCCAATTTTGATTCTGGTAAGAAGCTAGTTTGAGACTCTGGGAAGGAAATAGGATATTTTTTATTCCGAAAATCATCCCTTAAGGGGTTAAAAATGGGGATGAAAGTTTGTATACGGAATCAAGCTATGGACGAACCCAAGCGAAGCGAGCGTGTGTCGCTAGTTTAATATAAAACAAGTATCATTGATGACATACGCAGGTAAAGCTACAGACAGGAGCTAAATTATTATAAATATAAACGATAAACATTTTGTTGTTACGCAACATTTATTGATATTAAATTTATATTTATAACATCAAACTACTTAGTTTTAGAAGACTCTTTTGTAAATGTGCGTTCATTTATAACATACAACTATAGCAATAGAACGATACAATTATTTTTTATTTGAAATGAATTTAATGCAAATGGCGAAAAAAGTTGTTATTAGAACTGAAAAGATTGCTATAAAAAATACACATTTGAGTGTATATTTTAGATGATTTTTCAAAACGCTCCTTGCTGGAAACGTTAAGTTGGCACTAAGTTAACACTCCGGTGTTACCAGACATAGTTTTTTGCGATCGACGGGTGTATATTGGTCATATGATTAGTTAAGCTGCGAATACTTGTGAACGTACGTCGACATAACTCGCAAACATTTTTCATATTTCTCGGGTGTTTATATTTACAGTGATTACGAAGAGCGAGCGTCGATTCAAATACCTTCCCGCATTCCTCGCATGGAGTTTCCCTCTTGCTGCAACATAACTCGTGATCGAACAATTGTTCCGCTGTTGCGAAAGTTCTATAGCAAGCTTTGCATCGGTGGTTATAGCGGTGCATGTATCGAACGTGTTTTTGTAGACTCATCATTGATGAATATTTTTTTTCACAAATGCCACATTTTACTTCCGCCCGATCATCGGGGTGTTTGAATAAATAATGCATATTGAGAGAATTTGTAGTTTTGTATAATTTACCACAATGTTGACACGGCGATCCATAGTCTTCAACCACATGGTTACTTTTGTTGCTCAGAATGTCATGCAATACAGCAGTTGAACAACGCAAGTGTTCATCTATTATTTCAGGATCTACACTAACGACATCTATTTCAACATCGAATTTCATGTTCTTACCATCCATTACGCGTAGGTAAAATAAATATATAAGATACTTATATTACTATTTGCTTACCACGTTAAATGTCAATAGAGAAAAAAAGTCTGGTTTATTTTTTTGCTGTCAAATGAAGCAAAGCATAAAAAGGTTTATAATGTAAACTGTTTTTTTTATTATGTGAACATGCCAAGTCTAGTAAAGTTATTAAAATAAAAAAAACAGTAAGTTTTATATTATGATTTTATCGATACGTTGTACGCACCGGGCGTTCTAGTTTATATAAAAAAAGCTAACATATAGGCCATACCATACATAAGTGTATTAATTCAAAAAGTAAATAGAAATGAATATTTGCATTCTCAGTGCACTCTTTGACGGTTCGTTTATGGTACTGATCATACGATAGGACGCACGCTTGTAAACTGGTCGGTTTATAGCCTAACTTTATAACAGGAAAATATAATTATAGTAGAAAAAGTGTGAGTAACTAGAACCGATAGAAATGTTATGATCAAATTGATTGATAACTGGAGACAAGCTTCAATATTTAGCTCGAGTTTATGAAAAGTTGTAAATTGGAAAATGTATAGGTTATAATAAAATGAAGTAACGAAATAAGTGTAGTGGACGGGGGCAGAACGCGTGTTTTGATTATACGATTATAGTATACTTAAGATTTCGGTATTTATTATAAATAGATTTTTTCAGCTTTTAAAGCTGTACAAAACTTAGTTTGTTCTTTGTCATGTTGGTAAATGGAGACAAAATAGTAATAGTAAACTTTAATATACTTATCAATATTATTATTAACGACACCAGGAATCTTCAAACATTTTTGAAATGTGCATTATTTAATAATCCACGACTATACATTTCTTTCTATTGATTGATAATATGTGGTTGGACGTGTGCAATGTACATATACCAAATAATTTTTGAATAAATTATTTTAGTGTGAGAGACAGAAAATAACAATTTGTAAGTTTAAACACCATTATTTACATAGTTCATTACATTATAATTATTAAATATTAGAAAAATATCAGTAAAATATAAAACTAGGATGGTGATTAAACTTACTAATAATTTGGAATCGAAATATTACTTTCACTAGATAAAATGCAGTTACTATTATAAATTATAATATAGTTAATCAAATAATGCGATGAAGAGTTTGCATGGTGTTTACGTAAAAGGATTCGATTCCAAATTTAAGATTGGTCCCTCTTTTGTGGCGTCCGCATAACTACTCGTGTATGTGTGGTTACGTGTACGTGTGGTTCTTTATCGCGTCGCAGTGAGAGCGGCCGCGGCGCTTCGTTCGCCGCCTGGAAGGACCAACAGACGACTCACGCGCAACGAGAGTCGCTACCACTCGGGTGAGTCACAACACTATAAAAGAACCTATCGCTGTCAATAGACTTGGTGGGTCATATTTGTGTGATGTCATTCTTAGTCGTCTTGCTGCATTGGGTCTGTATATGCCTTAGATTATAAGGAATAAGGATTATATTTTACGTTACTAATCATAATATGGTATTTATTTTATTTAGCATTGGTTTAATTTAGATGATCTTCACATGCATTTAATTTTTTTATAAGCACCGTTTACCTGTGAATTTATGCTTTGAGCATAGATTTCATTTCATTTGCAAAAGCTTCTTTATTAAGAATTTAAGTATAGTAACTTAAAGAAAATTACTAAGCTCAAAAGTTAGTTATTATTAAAATCGAATTGTTGACCATTTCACTTTCGATATTTACGTAAGTCAATATTGTGAAAGACGTAGGTAGGTGTGCAAAGGTATCGAGATAAAATATAAATTGAAAATATTAATATTTTGAAAAATGTGTTTGCAATACATAAAGTTATCGAAATACGTAGAATAAAAAGAATATAAATCAAGTGAAATTTGGTAGGCTAAAATTATAGCATAGTAATATGTTCTTATTAAAGATATTACATTTACCTATAATTTCAATTTTATAATTATTAATATAAAATATACATCTATCGTGAACTAAATAAGTTTTTGCAACGTATAGGAGCTACCCTTTTTTTAACCGACTTCAAAAAGAGGAGCCTCTCAATTGTTCTGAATGTTTTTTTTGTGTCTGTATGTTTCGCATAAATATGGTTCTATTTTCATAATGCTTTTTTTAATGAATAGATACCTCAAGAGTGGTCCGATATAAATAAAAAAAATTCACCCCTGACGACGTAATAATTAATTTTAAGTCATTTTGAATTCAGTGCCCTTTTTAGATAAACATTAATAAATAGTGCTTGTCGAAGCCTTATGTATTTCTACGAATATTATCCTTGATCATGAGAGCAAATTGGATGGAACACATAGGTACAGGGTACATTAACTGTACGAAGTTAACAAATATATTTATTTAAATTAATCGTAATTAGGAACAAAGATGCCGATTTAAAATTGCAGTACACATTATAAACTTGAAAAACATGTTTATTATCAAGCTAAGCCAGTTCTATTTCTATTTAAATATTTGTGTTAATACTTACTTTGCCAGGGGAAACGTTCATTTATTTATTATCAACGCTTGTCGGCCTTCAGTTACTTAGGATTAAATTTAAATAATTCAGAGTTCGCTCATTACTTGCCAGGTGCCTTTCAGTTTAAACTATACATTAACTATGTATATTAGGATTGGATTTAGATAACTAATAATAAACTATTTTTGTAACATGTAAATTCCCATCCTTCAAGGATATTAGGCATGTACGATCCTAAAGATATTGTGTAAACCTTATAAGCTATAGGTACAGGACTCAAATACATATATCCTGATTATTCAAAGCAACAAATGAGCGTATACGAAAAAGTATCATAATAAGCGCGTTATACGGCTTAAGATGCTTTTAGTTAAGCGCTCGGTGAATATAATATGATTGGTCTTGGACCGTGGTAGTGCGTGGAACTTGAAAGCCAGTTCTTCGCTCGTCGACGTGTTGCGACCCCAATACGGTGAGTCAAAACCGAAGCCCAATTGAAGTATAAAGAATTCAAGAAAAGCAATTATCGTAAATAAGTATATGCATATAATTCTTTATGACGACGTCATTTAAGTTTTAGTGAATGGATCATTTAGAATTACCTACTTTATTTCAAATAAAATAAATGAAAAATTATATTTATTACCTCTTTTCTTGGTTATATGGAAAAAATTGTAAAAATTTCGCATTTTTATTTGAATATTTTGAGGCAAACATTAATAGCACAGAAAACTCATAAAATAAGATAAATCTTATACAACATTCCCGCATTGACAATTAGGTACAAGTACACAGGCAAAGACACGGTACTCAAAACCTAATTGTTAACACGTTTGGAATGTTTGGATATTGTAGCTCCGATGGGTCATTAGATCTCTTGTTTACTACACTACTAAAGCAACGCTTTCCAAAGTAGTTTTTATTGTGAAGCAAGAAGGGATGCTGCCCGATTTAATTTCGCCGTTGAAGTGCGCACAACACCCGGTCTGCAAGCAAATTCCGAGTAAAATATGCTTCAGGGAAATCGCTCGTGCATTGCATTATTCGATATTTCCATGAACTTCAACAAAGCGATCAACTATTTAGCATAGCTACATACTTGATACTATGTAGAATAGATATTAAAAGTATAATCAGGCGGAATTTGATAATATTAAATATTACATTAAAAGTTCGTTAAAATTATAAATTTATAATGCTTCAAAATTAAATAATTTTATAGATACATACTGATATTATTTCAAATCATGTTATCCTTAAGCTAGAATGAACATAGGAAGAGATCCCGTACTTGACTAACGACTGACATAGTTTCTTAAATGTTAAATTGATTCAAGTGGTTGTGATTGTGGAGACCATAGAGTATTTACGACTATTACTACTTTAAGTATCTAAGGCGAAAGTCTTATTTATTATTAGCGACTTACCCTCCCTACGCTCGGGTTCGTCCCTAGGTACGTTTTTTTTTGAGTGGAAGCTTAATTCTTTTTCTAATATAGACGTGGCCTATGTTACTCCCTATAACATCGGCTTTCTTTCAGTGAAAGTCCCATCAAAATCAGTCCAGCCGTTTCGGAGATTATCCGGAACAAACAGACAGACAGACAAAAATAAAAAAAAAATGTGTTTTTATCGGGGGGCACGTTATAAGTACCGTGTATAATTTCATATGCATTTAGAAAATGCTATTGTTTTGACATTACAAATAGACATTTCTAAATAAAACTATCTTTTTGGATTATTTCGCGGATTTATTTTGATTTTTGGTTCCCTAAATATTCTTTCACGTCGCAACGGAGTGACGGATTGGTGTGACTTTTAAAATGTATTCCATAAGAGGCTAAAATAGGGCTCTTGTGAAAATGGAACCTATCTTTTTAGATTTTTTGTAGTTTTAGCGCGAGTGAAGCCGCGGGTTCTGCTAGTTGTTAAATAAAACTAAAAATGTCTAAATCACCAAAACTAAAAAGCTCTAAATAAAAAAATAATTTAATAAAATAAAAAGCCCAACAAGTAAAAAGCCAACTAAAAAGATGAGAACAAGTTCACCAAGTAACATAGTGAGTATAACATTATATTCACGTATCAAGACTCGCAGCAGTATACAACAAACGTTATGTCTCCGTCTACAAAATACTAGGTACGTTAAAATAATAATTTCAATCATATAAAAATGGTTACTGTGGGTGATCCGTAAGAAGTATACGTACACCACCGCGGACATATTTGTAGATATTTTTAAGATACACAATTTCGTAGTACATCATTTTGTTTTGTTAGCAATGAAAGCACACAAAATTCGATGTTTTCACGAATCATTGATTTTTTTATATTTTTTCTAAATATAACATGAGTGTATCATACATATATTATACATATAAACTATCCGGAAGAAATGATCTTACGTAGTTAAGAAGATATAAGCTTACATAGCGGCTTTATTTTATACTATCAACTATGTAAAGCTGATCTTTACATAGTTGATAGTACACAACAATTTGTC